TACAATAGATATTAGCAATAAGATACGTGTAAATGCAAATTCTGATGCAGTCAGTCTATCATCAGAATTGATATTTAGTACAAACTGTAATAATACATCAATAGCCAGTCTCTTATTATACTAATAAATTTAAAGTGCTATCCACTTAGGACTTTTTATATTCTCAGGACATCTAATTATAATAGACTTTATTATACTAATTATCCTAAGTTCTAATGCTAATTATATTAGTAAGTCTATCATAGATGTTCTGAGAATATAGTATTGTCCAGTTAGGACTTACCATAAGAAAAAAAAACGTAAAATATTATATCATAAATGATTTTCACAAATAGCATCCAAGTGATCAATCGGCTATATTTAAAAAAAATACAGATGCAGCAATATACGAGCAGTATTGTAGCAATTACAACGTTTTTACAATGAAGCACAAAGCAAGGTACATATTTTTAACCCAGTTTGTAAACAAGATGTGGGACAATTCAAAGTAAAAATTTAAGTACAAATTGTCAAAAAATTTTAAATGCAATTTTGATGATAGCCTCAAATAAAGTCAATTATTCTGTATGCTCAATGCATATGAAGTTTGCAACAACAGAGTTTTTTCTTTTTTTTTTGTTTTTGGGGCCTTTTATAGCAGCCCCATTATGGGTTAGGCCAAACCCATAATGGGGCAACCGGGTGGTGAAGGACGGGGCCCAATAAATCCGAATGGATCACCCCCGAAAAATTCCTTGACGCGTCCGGATTTAATCCCAGGTCCTCCAGAGCGATCAGCTGCCATCTTGACAGCTCGTCCATCCGGCTCATATGGTATAATTGACCTTATTTGAGGCTATCTAATTCCAAAGTTATAAAATCATAATTTGTGTGCAAAATGATATATCATTCCCAAAAAACAGCATTTAAAAAAATATATATGTGCTATAATATACGAAAAGAATATTGTAACGATTAAAATAACAAGAAGCAGAATACAAATTGTTTAAAAATTTTAAATGAAATTTTGATGATAGCCTGAAATAAAGTCAGCTACTCTGTATGCTCGTTGCATATGAAGTTTGTTGTTGCAAACTTCGTATGCAACGAGCATACAGGGCCAAGTACCGGTAAATGTGTTATGATGTTGACTGACCTAGTTCGAACTCGTTTTGCTTGTTTTTTCCATTTAGTAAACCCATCTTTCCCAATAAAATACCTTGCGTTTGCAGCTGTCTGATCTTCATCCTCCTCTTCTAATTCCTGCTCCGTTTCAGTGTCACGATCACTGGTAGTTACAAAATCCAGTTCTCCATCGTCAGATTCCTCTGGGTCATATATATCTTGCTCGTCATCTTTCTCAAGCCAGTTTAGTAACTGCTCTGGATCTACTGTTGATTGTCTTTTCGCTTTCTTGCTAGAGCTTTTGTGCCATTGTAACTGTTATAAGAAAAACGAATAGTATAACAAACAGTTTATACAAGAAAAATATGCTGATTTTGTATAGTAATTTGTTCTTACTTATTAGTAAACTGTAACAAGTTTACATTATATAACAAATCAATTTATAAAACCTATTACAATTTTATTTCACATATACTGTATGTAATTTTACTTGTCTAAAATTAAAACATTGTTAATTATAAATATTAAGTTATTTTTCTATTTATATTACATAGATATGTCTATATTCTTTCAAATGGAAAAAACTGCAGCATTTTAAATCAACGGAGAGCCAGAAAACGACCTATGCAGTACTTTAAAACGCAGATCCTCTCGTGGGGGGAGGAGGTTTTTCAAAATCTAGGTCAAGTGTCTCTGCTGAAAGGGGCGGTCAGTTTTTTAAAATTTTACTTTATCGATGATTTACATTTGATTCTATATATATGTTAATCACACTAATACAATAACAGTAGATTGTATAACCGATTTTAACCTATTAAATGAACAATTATATAACGATGTTATATGTAGACTATGATAAAAGTACTGCAATAACTAGAAGTACTGTACTTCAATTTTTTAAAGAGATTTGCAACTGAATGGTCGTGTAAACACGCGTATTCATTGCATTATATATATATATGTTACAGTCAAAACCCGTTTTTAGTTAGAACGCGTTTTAACTAGTTGAAACTAGTTTATACTGAATGCCTTTGTTAAAACCCGTTATGTCTAGTTAAAAGTAGTTTTAACTCAAATGCATTTTTGACTAGCAGTAAATTCTAGTTTTAACTAGACAAAACGGGTTTTAACATAGACATCCAGTATAAACTAGTTTTAACTAGTTAAAACGCATCCTAACTAAAACTGGTTTTCATTGCAACGTATAGAGTGATTCGGGGTAAGATGGTAAGTGGGGAAGATGCCTAATTTTTGATATTTTCAAACGGTGACGACACATATTGTCATGTATTTGTACGATGAATCGTTCGGCCAATATTGAGTGTGGAAAGCTGTAGTTGGCTACCGTTACTTCATTTTCTACATCCGAGAAGAATAAAAGCTAGATAAGAACGAAGTTTTTGTTNTAAACTAGTTTTAACTGAAATTGATTGAGTTTAAACGGGTTTTAACAAAGACATCCAGTACAAACTAGTTTCAACTAGACAAAACGGGTTATAACAAAGACATTCAGTATAAACTAGTTTCAACTAGTTAAAACGCGTTCTAACTAAAAACGGGTTTTGACTGTAACATATATATATACGTTAGAAATTAGAAGTAAAAAATAAATGACATTAATGATTTATGGCTGTGTGTATACGTTTGTAGCTGACAACATAGCTCTGAGAAAACACGGCTTTTTCCAACAAAGTTTTCACCCCACAAACTCAAGTTAATGCATATTCGTTAAAGGATAGTCATTTAGCTATAATATTCCAATTATAGCTCAACAGGAATACGAACGAGGATGTTATTGTTCAAGAAACAAAAAAAAGGGTCTCCCATAGACTTAACATAGGTTAGAGATTTGTAAGTTTAAAAATACGGGGTGGTAACAAATCTTATTCGTCGAAACATACTTACTGTTAGTGTATGTAGATGAAAGCTAATCAGTGTTTAAATCGTAAACAACTACTTATTTACGGAAAATAATTGCCGCTAAGTGCCACGCTCCCTCAGGCTACCATCTTTGAATTATGTAAACATTCGCTATAAAATTGCTTGTTTTAATTGTTTTTTGATTTCTAGTTTGTTAATGAAAACTTTTTTCACAGTATTTAGACGAGTAAACATTTTTTGAAAACCGTTTATTAATAAATATTTCCGCAAAACTTTACTATGGTAAGTCTATGTAAGGTCAGTTGTCTTTCAAGTTTGTTTTTACACCTTTTACCTAATAGGTTAGTGTATGTGGGATCAACCAAGCGCTTCCTTCGTAAACGTCTCCAGGAGCATAAGTATGATATAGATAATAATAAGCACACCACCACCCTTTCAACCGTAGCCACGGAACCTGGAATAAAGGTTGATCTACAGAATGCCCGCCTAATTAGGCTATCACACCGTGTAGACCAACTAAGGATTATGGATACCTTAGAAATTTATAAAGCAGGATTAAACAACACATGTATTAACTCCAAAGACGCAGTCAACATATCTAGTGCATGGAAATTTTGCTATGAAGGAACAACCCATAATTAGATGTAATATGGATTTATTACAAGCGCAAATTACGCAAGCTTTGACGTCATCGACGCAAGAGCGTGGTGTTCTATATTTTTGAAAGTAACGTTGACGTTCTAGGATTTGAATCGCATTTATTCGGTTCCTGTTCGATTTTGTACTGTTTGAATTTATTATAACAGTGGCCTGAAGAAGACCCTGGTAGGGTTGAAAACGTTTGCCAAGAAGAATAACACTGGAGATTGAAAGGTTTTTATTCAAGTGGAAAGGTAAGATTCTTTTTAACAAATTCTTTTATCTCGAATTTGGCAGAATATTTGTTAAATGTAAAATTTCGCTTAAAAGAAAATGTACTGTATTCGGATAAACGTAATAAAATCACCTAACTGGCACACAATAAAAATAATTTCTAATAAAATACGCGTTAGTATTTATTTTCTCGATTCTAATGCGCATCTATTTTGATCTTCAAGATTGGGATGTGCATTATAAGCCAGCACAAAGTAGACTTAAATGATGTCTGGTTGGCTGTTTGTTCCTCTCTCCGGTGGGCAATTTGTTATAGACCCTCACACTAATTCGGTTTTTATTTTGAAGCAGTTTGATGGTTTGAATTATAGTAATGCGAATGAACTACGTTCAGCAGACAGGTCACCCGTGAAGCTAAGTTTAAGACTAAAAACGAATCTTATAGGATGAAGATTTCTTTCATTTTAAATAATTGGTAAGTAATTTTTTACAGTACTAGAATTTTTCTTTGCTCCTTTCCACTACTTCAAACAATTGCCACTTCTTTTCCTTTTATGTCTGGCAATATAATGACTCCTTTAACATCATTTGCATGGCAGAAGAAGAAAAACGGGGCACTTGTCTCTCTCTGGGATGGAGTCAAAGGAGGATTTAATACCCAAATGTATATCCGCAATCCAGTAATAAAGTATATATCAATAAGAGTTTCTTGTGTGTTCTAAATTACTGAGAAAAGCCAAAAAATTTTAGGCTTTAAAAATATTTCGATGTATACAAATTATATATGTAAGAATTGTTATATAACTTTGTATATCGTAAAGTATAAATTTAGTGAGCTATTGGAAAAAATAATAGACCTGAAAATTCCCATTGTCGTCTGTTTGTTTGTCTTTCTTTAATTTAAACGAGGTCATTTCAACACAGAGTAAATAGGGAAAGGAGAACACGCGACCAAAAATAAACAAATTTCACTTTAATTTTTACTTAGTTTTATATTAATTTGCATAATAATATACGTTTGTGGCCGCCAGCGCCAGAGATCCTGAATACTGTCTGGCAACACTTGCCACGATCACGAACTCTGTCTGGCAACACTTGCCAACAAGAGTGGCTGGCAACGTCAAAAAAAGAAAAGGCGCAAAAGTTCGTTGGATTTTGTCCGGGTGTTGCCCGAGGATGTCTGTGACAGTTCTAACCTTTTCTAATAAAGTTCTTTTTTGTTACTGTTCGTGTTTGCCTGCTTAATGTTAGATCTAAACATCAGTAGGATCGAATGACAAAGTGGTGAGCCGAACGTGATCCGATTAATGAACTACGTGGACTTTCGACTGAATTGGATAGCGAACAACTCTGTGTCTATGATGGAACTTTTTTAACAGGATATGCAGGTATGATCAGTTTCTAAATCGTAAATTCGATAGGAAGACGGTGGGTAAATCTTACCGAAGACTAGGAATACGTGACTCAGGCTAAGCTTTATCCAAGACTATCCCGCTTTCTTTGTAGCCGCATAGTTAAGCGCCCGGAATGGCGGAACAGAACGAGTTGGAAATCGGACGTGTACAGGCAAAAATGCCTATCTTTACTAAAACCAACATCAAATTATTTTTTGTGCAGCTAGACGCGGCTTTTGCCATTAATCGGATTACAAGTGAGAACACTAAGTACAACTATTTAATCAATTCCCTGGACGCGGAGATTCTATCTAATGTTAGTGACTTAGTATTTGACCGTCCAGCCGAGGCTCCGTTTTCTAAACTTAAAGATCGACTCCTCGAAATTTTCCAGAACTCCGCTGCTAAAGAGGCTAAAATTCTGCTTGAAGATCTGGCGTTAGGGGATCAGAAACCCAGCGTTTTACTCCGTAAAATGAGGGAGCTTTCAGCGGGCAAAATTACCGAAGAATTTCTTAGAAACTTGTGGCTCCAACGTCTCCCCAAAAATATTCAGACCGTATTGGCTGTTAGCAGTGATGAACTAGACAAGCTAGCCATCCTTGCTGACAAGGTTGCTGAACTTACAGAACCAACCCAACTGGCCAGCATCAACTTGAAAG